AGTGCGACTTCATCAGGAAAACGACGTCCATTTTGTTCGGGAATGGTTGTCCTAGCTGTCTGTCTTGGATGTAAAGCTAAGTTTTTTTTTTTTGTTTGCTTAACTATTTGAGAAAATAGATTTTTTTTTTTTTTGCAGTTAAAAGGACTGAATTAACTTAATTTGTTGAAACCTAAATTTTTTTGTAGTTGATAAATTTATCCTAACTCTATAGAAATAATTTTTCTTTTGTGTGTCGATTAAGTAAAAGCATTAGATTGAATAAAGATTTATAACCTTATTAAAATTATTGTAACTTAACTTAATAGTTAAAAGAAATAAGTTCTTCGTAAAATTATTTAATTGAATTTTTGTTTGAGTTACTTCTTGGTGAGGATTGATTTGTAATAGTGCCTGTATTAGAGCATTTTTGCTCCTCTCAGGACGAACTTTTTTGTAGAAGTGTAATAGTGTCACTATTTAACTTTATCCGGTTAAACCATATTTTATTAATCAAAAGAAAAAAATAAATGATAAAAATTATTATGTGCAATAACAATTGTTTGTTTGATGGTATTGAGTGCAATAATATTTCTTCTGTACCGATTATTCTGTGTGAAGTGGAAGGTGTAACTTGTTAAAATTTATATTTTTTTTCCTCCCCGAGGAGGGTACTGTTCATAAATTTATAGTTTATTTTTGGTATGTTTTACCAGATTTGTAATAGTAAATATAATAGAGATTCCAAGGATGTTAAGAAATAATTACCTAGTAATAGTTGATGTGTAAAACAATAGTACAACTTTTGTTGAATATATTTTGATTTTTCCAATTAATGGATATATATAATTTGCATTAAGAGTTAAATAAATAAGTTTTTCTAGATCAATCCATGGTTAAATTTATTTTGTGTGCTCATGATTTTTACCAGTCTTTTACTCAAATTGATTTAAGGGTTAATTCGGAATAAACACAACGCAATAATGATAATTTTTATTGATACTAGTATGTTGTGGTCAACTAGTAGGGTACCTTATTGGTAATTTCAAAAACGACCCAACACTTGATTTTCAGTACGGATTTTGGCCACATAATACAAGTTTCATATATTCCTCATAATTAAGCACATCTTTTAGCAGAATTTCATTCCAGTCCTTATCTAATTTTCCACAAGATTTTTCTTTGAAACGTTTCTATGTAGAAGAGGTAGTAATGAATAAATTATTATCAGCTCGTGGCTACAGAGGTGATTCGTCTTTTCTGAATGAAAATTCTTTACCGGTCTGCTTTGTTTCAGTATTTAAAATGTTGTGGAAAATCTGTTTTCTGAATGGATATTCTATATAACGGCTATTCCACTTTCACTTTTCAACCATACATATCTCGGGTGAAATGAATGCATCCTCACTGTACACTAGATAGGAGAGATTACTGATGAAATTATCTTCACTTCCCTTCCAAAAGAGTGAAACTTCATACATTCTTTCACCTAATTTTCTTAACTCTACACTGGAGAAATTTTTTGCATCCCCTCCTCCCCCAAAAAAATTAACCCTAAGACAAGCGATAGACGAATAGGTGTACTGAAGGTAAGCCAAGTATTAAAAAAAATACAGAATGCTGTGTAGCAAATCTGTATCTACTGGAAATAGAGGCGGAGTTAAATTCTAAAAATTTTATCATTTCTAAATTTTGCCGCCCAAAGCGACCGCATCGGCTCTGACGGGGAATTCAGTTTATATCAAGTGTAAGAATCGAGACTCAATGTTTCTACTTGTGGGAAAAAAATTGGATCTGAGGAAAAAATTAAAAATTGTCGAGCATAGGATTGTTGAAGAAGTATTGCTGAAATGGTTCCCCATTCAGAGTTGCACACAGAGTATCTGAATGAATGCTAGTCATAAATAGGTGTTTTAGATGGAGAAATGCATCTAGACCAGCGGTTCTCAACCTTTCAACAAACCTGTACCATCTACATAATAACTGAAAAACTTACCGCTACATTTTACAATTCCTCAATAGAAATATTAAAATTAAATATATTTTGCCATTTGCACAACCTATTGGCTGTTTGTATTAGGCTGCTATCACACGTCGGTTTGTTTCGGAAGAACAACTGTTTGGAACAATTTTTCTGCTTTGTCACAACAGCCAATCACCATAGATCGCTTTGGGGTTAACACAGGGAAAACTGGTTCCCCATTACAAACCAGCTGACAGCTGATTGGTTTGAAAACGAGAAACTTGCAATTTTTTTTTGAAAGGAAGGAAAAAATTGCACGTCTTTCTTTCAATATTAAACCAGACAGAAAAATTGTCCGAAATAGTTGTTCGTGTAATACAAACGCCGTGTGATATGGGCCTTAGATATGCACACATAAAAATATTTTAGATTAAAAATGGGTTACCATTTTTATTATCAAAATTTAAGTTATAATACTTTAATTCTAAAATTTGGGCGTGTTTAAGAGAGACAATTTTTTTTTAATGTCTGGTCTTATTTCACTTAGTTTTAACAGGAAATTAGGATCCACTTTTAGTTTTGTTCTATATTTAATTTTTAAATAAAACATGGAAGAAAACCCTAGTTCACACAAATAGGTTGTGCAAAAAGGGAGGGAAAATAATAGCTTTATTTGAAATGCCTTTAAAGTTATTTTTTGGTTCAGACAAAAGTTAACAAGTATATTATTTTTGAAATCTTCAGTTTGAGTTCGATCACAGGAAATTTCTATCAATTTTTCTTTCTTTTTCACGAGATTTTTGAATTTAATAGTTAAAAATACTTTTTCTTTGCATACCACCTATTTTTCTCTTGCATAACAACAGTGGTACGCGTATCACCGGTTGAGAACCCCTGATCTAGACCATGATAATTTTTGGTAAGTAATTTATTGCGTAAAATTACTACTCCATGGTAAACAAAAAGAGAAAAGGAAGCTCAGTATTTGTAATTAACCCTTAACATGATTTTTTTAAAAATTAGAGTTATTATTCACTTCTTTATGGCTAATCAGACTTTTTGTGATCCATCAATCAATTTCAGCATCATTTTAACAGATGAACCAGACTTACGGTATCTAAAATTTTGTTATAGCGGGGTTCGTATGTATATGCATGCACCGAAAATAAGTCAGATTAAAAAAATTTTCCATCATGAGGCACTCTTTTTTTTTTTTTTTTTTGTTTGTTTTTCAGAATAAAATGATCAGCAAAACATTAAAATGTTTATCTCAGAATTCAGTGCTCCCCCCCCAGGGTAGTACGTCTATTTTGCTTAATTACTTTGATTTTCGACTTACATTGTTAAAGCTTTTCCTGTTGAAACAATAAAATGCACCACTAACAACAATACTTCCCTGCTGAAATCAAAGTGAAACAAAACAAAACAAAACAACAACAAAAAAAAGTAACTATGTTAGCTTTTTGTCATGCAGGAGAAAAGAATTATTTTTGGGTGGGGGCTTACCAACTTGAGCAACTAAAATTTAATCAAACAAGAGAAAATTAAATTATTTAAAAATATTCCAACAAATTAATTAGCAAAAATTTTAACTATTGCAGTCAAAGACGAGAACAAGATACTACGGCATATAAAAAATACTATATATCGAAGAAATGACTGGCAGATAGATACTTTCGTAATAAATGATGGCAGATAGATACTTTCGTATATTAATATATGATTGATGTTTAACAAAATACTTTTGGTGAACTACATGCTCTCAATGCCCTTTTCTTAACAAGACAATGAGTCACATTTTAAAATGCCGGAATCTCAATTACAACACAGAAATGCTTTCATACCTTTTTGAAAAACTTGTAAATGCTCATTTTGAAGTATGCTAAGAAGCATGAAAAAAAAAAAAATACTCAACAGAGAATTAATAATAGACTAACAGCCTGGATTCAGTTGATAATTTTTTTTCAACTAGTACTCTCAACTTCAATTAAAATAGCATACTTTAGATGGATTTCCTCAAGCATTAACAAAGGACTTACTTTTAACAAAGTGATGTTGATGAACTAACTACATACCCTTACGAGTGTATGTAGTTAATTTGGCATTCAAAGTGAAATTTGGCATTACTTCAGGTCACACTTAAAACCATTTCACAAATAGCAACATATACCAGAAGCTTTGCTGAATGGTGCTTTAAGATTTACCGAAGAACCTGTACATGCAGATTTCTAAGACTATCAGCAAGCACAAAGATGAAAAAAACACTATGTGAAGAATTATTATAGCAGCCCTAAGGATTAAGGTGAATTAATAATGAAGAGTATCAAACAAAAATTTCTGAAACGTTATTAAAATAAACTTACAAATATTATAAAATAGCCATACAGGTCTGAAAGTACATGTGATAATATTTCACACTACTATGACACAGCTCACTCACATGCATTATTTGTTTCATTAAAAAAAAATACCACCTGATTTATAAAAATTTTAAAAGGACTATTGATTCCTTTTGCACTTAACTGCACACAGTAAATGAAACAAGAACAAAAAGTTGGGAACATTTTTGTTTGTGATGAATAAAAGCATCTGGATACATTATACATATGTGTAAGTACATTTCACTTTGAAAAAATTCATAATGCTTCTAAATATATATTTAGAATCAAAACCCCCCCTCAGTTTCAGAAATATTTTGCTTAAAAATATTACTACATTTCCCATAACTGAATTTTATTCAAAAACTATTCTTGAAACTGAATCTGCTAAATCAACTTTATATATGACCCGTATTCTCACATGCTACAATTATCCCTGCTTCAAACACAGGAAAAAATGCTGGATTTGAATGTTTTATTTTGGCATTATGCGAAATTCAATTGATTCGTTGCTGATGAAAAGAAATATAACCGACTGTAATCATGTATGTTCTTCATGGTGCATAACCCAAGAAAAGCAATTCTGAAGTATCAGCTAGATAATGCAACACTTACAACTAATTTGACACACAAATTTTGAAGAATGAAATGCTTGAAACAAGTGCAAATTTTAACAGCAATTTCTTTTCCAAAGAATAATTTATTCTGTAAATTATATTTAATGAGCATCATTGTTACACTTGGTATACAGAACACTTTCCATATATTCACATCACAATACCCTTCATTTTAAGGTACATAACTTTTGTGCGTTAACTCCATACTTCTATGTCTACTGTCTCCCAATTCAATGAATAATCTTGATTTAACAAATTTTATTGTAGATCCACAGTAATTCATTAAATCCACATTTGACTGCATATATCAATACCGTATACTCAAATACAAAGTTAGCGAAAGATGTTCAAGCAAAAACTAATTTCTACACTTTTTTTATCATACATACAAAAGCAACAGAGCCCCCGGCAGTGTTTTCATAACCAACAAATTAAACTGAAGATTTACAAACATGTCACAATAAGATTCAGAAGTGAATATCTGGAACAAAATATGATGGAAGAAATGGTTTTAAGCACTGATATAATGAAATAATACTGGATCTCATATTTTCATGATGATATACTCCCTATTTAAACATAATATTGAGCTGCACCTTATCATTTAAACTTTAACAAAAGCTATAAATAATTAAAGCAATTTCTCAAATATGTAACGTCATCTGAAATCTAGATAGATATTTTATGCCTTCACCCAGCCTCATGCATTACTTCAATGCATTACTTTGGATTACTTTGCAATGTAATATCAAAGTATATAATGTTGTTGCAAAGGGCAAATATAAATATTCTATGTGCATGATTAAATATCATTATAGTTTGCATATTTTAAGCTCATCTAATCTTACATATTAATCAGTACTATTCACTACGACTTTTTTCCTTTGGCTACAAAGGATTAAAGAAATACTTCAGTGATAAAAATGTTAAATATATTACAGATATTTTTTAACTGATTGCATAAAATATAACAGGACAAACACAGTATAATCCACACAACAGACATAAAATCTTCCCAACTAAGCTAATATTTTTAAGATATACGAACATAAGAAAAAAAGATATAAAACAGGTTGTCAGTATCTTTACAAGCTTTGGAATTTTTAAGAAACAACAGCCACACAACGTTATTACAAATTATTAAAAATACAACTGCTAAACCTGCATAGGATATCGGTACAAATGAAACAGTTATAACTGTGATTCAGAATATCAAATCTCCAGCATCAAGAGATCATACTATCACAACTAAATGCTATACAATTAGAATAAACTCAGAAAAAGTTAACAATACATTATTTATTTTCTCACAAATTTTTTAAGGAGGAGGAGCAAATACAAAGATACTTTCTTCCAAAATAATTTATGTCTGAGAAATTCAATGCAGCAATAAAACAATATAAATCTTTGGCATCAAAAAATCGACTGAAGGTACTTAAAAAGTACTGATGATATAATATGAAATTATACGATGAAAAAGATAATAAACCCCACACACATACATATATATATACAAGAAATTTCAATAACTAAAATGATTTCGGTATTCTTGATTAAAGTTACAATACTTATACAACATTTATTTTTTGTTCACAGAAAAAAATTGTTACTTGAAGTAACTTATACTCTAAATGAAATATAGATCAACATCTAATGATGAAATACAGCTGAAAGAATGTTTTATTATACGTTTCTAATATGAATTTTAAATGATTCTTGCCTAAAAATATGCACGATTAATAAGAAAAATGTCCACAGATGTTTATTTCATGAACACTTTTATCATGAAAGTATATTAATATGCACAATTATATATTTTAAATCTGGCATGTACAGTAAAATCTCTCCAAACCGGCACCCAATTAACTGGTAATATCAAAATAATGGCACTACTGACACGTAAAAAAAAAAAGTACGTTACACGAAGGGGAAAGACTTACTAATAGCAGACACTTTAAGTAGAGCATATTTGAATACAACAGAAAATAATGACGAAGATACAGAAATCTGTACTCTGTATAAAGTATTATGCTTCTGCAGCCCAACTTAATGAACCTTAGCTGGGATGATCATGTTTGTAGATGATAAGGAGAGAATCAGATTCCTTTTCTTTTAAAACACAGCTGGCATCCATGGTGGACATTTGGATTTAGTTAAATGTTTGAAGATGGTTAACATTAGTGAAAGGAATAAAACACAGCTGGCATCCATGGCCAACATTTGGATTTAGTTTTAATGTTCGAAGATGATTAATATCAGTGAAGAAAATGTACATTTGTGCTTAACACAAATGTGTTGGATGCTTATAGATAATTCCCATCACATTACCCCAAGATGATGATGAAACAATCAGACATTGAGTGGGAATGGAAAGGAAAGAGATGATAAGAAGGGGGTTAACATTAGTGAAAAGAATAAAACACAGCTGGCATCCATGGCCAACATTTGGATTTAGTTTTAATGTTCGAAGATGATTAATATCAGTGAAGAAAATGTACAGACTTGGATGCTTATAGATAATTCCCATCACATTACCCCAAGATGATGATGAAACAATCAGACATTTAGTGGGAATGGAAAGGAAAGAGATGATAAGAAGGGAGAGACTGATATTGAAAGTAACACACAGAGAATGAAAGTTATATTGAAGCAAACTGATGAAGATTGCAGACTTTCATAAGATCTGCCAAGAAATGTGCATTTACATCATTTTATGAAGCTTTATTGTATACAGATGATACAGTATACTTTATTGTATACAATATCTGTACATTTATTGTATACAGTATTTTTAAAACTACCGGTGAGAATCTTGTAGGCAGGCAGACATTACACGCCATCACACTAAGAAATTTGCAAAATTCATGGGATAATATATATGGTAATTTTAAAATGTCACACGATTTTGCTTTTCTAAAATACACTGCAGATGGCATCCCAAAATAAGAATAGGTAACTTTTAGAAATATATATTGAATTATAAGGAAAAATGTCTTTTCTAGTTAAGAGAGATTTTACTGTATATATTCAAGATGGTTGCACCCTGGGACATTATAAATATAAAATGTAAAAAAACTATATAAATATATATTTACCCAAATACAATCAGGACGATCAGAAAGAACAACTGCAAGCTTATTTTAAAGCCATGCATGGTAAGGGTAGCCCTAAGGTACATTACATATATTACAAAAATAAAAACAATTATATTTCTGACATAAAGAACCGGCATTTGTCTTAAGATTAAAACATGTATAACACAGCTGGTATCTTTGATCAAATCAGTTGCGCAAAGGTTTAAAAATTAGTACTGAAAAATTTTTAAGGGGGTCAAAAATGTAAGCTGCTATGGATTTTCATTTCTTTTAGAAGAGGGAAAAGCATGCACAAGTTTGTTTACAAGAATAATATACATGAATTAATGATCACATAAAATACATTTGGAATTCTATACTCTATAACAAAAATATCCAGCTTATAATATTTTTTCTGTGCTTAACACAAATGTGTTTGAAGTGGTATAAGAAACTTATGGCAACAATATACATGATGTACCCTAAAGTATCACGAGTATATGATGCCATAAAAATTGTTGATAATGAATACTGAAAAGAAAAGTTGGCAGTACAGGACAGCAGATCAACCAACAGCAATGTCTGATAAAGGAACTTGATTCTAGAAAAGTAAGACTGAAAAATTTGAGTCCTCTTTTAAAAGCAGTAGTGTGCAGAATAGTCTAGGAATGCTTCTGTATATGATAGCCTATTTAATCTGCTACATAAACATGTATGAAACAATAATTTCACTAATGCACTTTCATGCTACATTGCTTTTTTTTATGTATATACTAAATCTGAGATTTATACTGCATCTAGAAATTACAGTTTATGTAGTGTCTTTGGAATTATCTACTGAACTCTCAGAACACATCATGAAGCAGTGGAAGGTGTTCAAAACGGCCTTCAGACATTCACCTTGATAAAAGGAAGGCCTGTTGAGATTGACAGTTACCGCATAAAAATTTCACAGCACCAAAAATGGACATTAGCAAATATTTTAATCAATTTAAGTAAAGTGATTTGGGGCATTGAAGTAAAAACTGGATTTTCAAGTCACTCTAAAAGCCTTGGAATCATCAATGAAATCTCATCTATAGAATATACTTGTTGATGCTGCCAATGTATGCCAAATCTTCAATACTTATCCTGCAAATTGAAGCTTGTCTCAACTTCAAGTCATTGTATATATTGTTTGAGGATCAAAATAATTATACAACTCTCACACCTGGTTAACTTCTTCAGAAGATTTGCTCTCACAGGTTTACCTCAGCCAAATTCTTTTGAATCATCTCGACTGATAGCATATCAGATAAACTGTATTGCGGTACTTTGGGAAAAGATGAAGCCATGAATACCTTGCTCGATTCTAGAACAGAAAGTCAATAAAAGTCTAAAAATTTGGAAGAAAATGGTTTAGTTTTTATCAAAGATGAGAATTTTCCTCCACTTTGATTGAAATTTTGAAGAAATAATACGAATCATACCAGTTTGGACATTTGAGTTAGATATCCCAAAACTTGCAAATGTTATCAAGATACCTAATTGCAAAGCTACATGCACATCTGACAAAGATGACAAATAACGAAGCATTGAAAAGTATATTACTTTGAATGTTATTCACTGTATTAGTATTATTCTATGTCTTGCTTCACATTTGCAGTATGAAAAACTAAAGATTTCCTGGCTGATCTATGTTCATGTAAACCTGCCAGATGAGTAGATTATTTCGCTGCAAAAAAAAAAATGTCATCTTACTAGATTTAATATGATGATCTAAAATTCAGAATTGCTGATGTTCCAATTATTCCTTACTTCAGATTTTGTACTGTACTTCAACTGTATTGAAAAGAATTTTGCTATTAGAAATATTTTCAAGACTTTCAATATATTATTTTCATCCAGATATTAAATGTATTTTGGATATTACTTAATTGAGAACAACAAAATTTTCTATTACTATTTTAATGGAAATAAATTAATATAAAACATTTCACAGCAGTCAGAATTATGTGAAAATGGCACGCTTAAGACAGATCTTCCTTTCCTCATATAAATGTTGCTAAAAAACAAAATGACCTTAGAATTGATGACATCTTAGAACTGCAGATTTTTTAATTATTCATTTAAATACTTCTACTAATGTTAACAAATGAGTCAATTATTAAAAAAAATTGCTATAAATATTTGAACATCATGTTTCAATAACTTCATTGACATATAACCAAATTATTTTATAATTCTGTAGGTGGTACTGAAATTAAAGGCTTCAACTTTATAATCAATGCGATCATAGAATAAAATAAATGACGTATTTTCTACGCTTTTGACCAAAAATAATACATAAAACAGATTTTTTTTGCTGCTTTCCAATCATTTTCTGCAGGCCCAACAACACTATATAAACAACATTCTACACACTGGAAAGAAAGGGAAGAAGGAGGAGGTTAAATATTGGCCTTCAAAATATATTTCCCCTACTCTTTTTAAAAGTGAGAGAGAAAATTAGATATAACTTTTGTGTCAGAGTTATTACCAATGCAGAAGACAATTTCCAAAAAAACAGTATTAATTTCAAAATGATATAAGATCATAAGTGCACCTGTGTGTGTATGTATGTATGTAAGTATTTATACAAACAACCTAAGAACTAATATTTTTCATGAGTAATTACAAATTATCACCAACAATGTATTACATATTTCTTCAGTTTAATTTTGATAAACATTCACCTGGTATTCTACAAAATGATACATAAAACACAAATTATATGCTGTTTTTCCAAATAAATAAATAAAGGTTGCTAATACATACATTACTTCCATATAATAATTTTAAAAAATATTATAACAAATTTAATCTTAAAGGTGATACTAATGTATAATATGTCTTACATGGCATCATGGAGTTAATTAGATATACGAAGCCCAAACATTTATTCAACCAGATTTTCCCTCAGAAATACCAGGAAAAAAATTTTTGCATTTTATATAATTTAATTCTTACTTTGCATCTTAAAATGTTAAAAAAAAAAAAAAAAATGCATAAGCGTTATTAAAATACAGGGCCTTTCAATTTCCTAAAATTTCATTTGTTATGTGTTCTTCAAAAAATAAAAGCAGTTCAAAGTTATGCTGAAATCGTTTATTTTCTTTCGATTTTCTATCAAATTTAGTGGTATATTAAAACAATGATAGAAATAGCATGTGAAATTCACCTTTCTTGACACAAATATTTTGAGAAGTCTTGTACCCAAAGATAGGTATCACAAAATGAAACAAGAAATGCACATTTTGAAATTCACAAAATATTATTCCTACAATGAAACTTTAATTTAAAATTTGTATGCTTCTATTAAATGCACAGAAAAAAAAAAAAAACTAGAATATAGTTTTGAGAATTTCATACAGTATAAAACAGAACTAAAAACTAAAAAATCTAAAATTTGTAAATTAATTTATTAGCTATATTAATGCATTTAACAGAATGTCAAATGCTTATTAACTCAAAGTTTCTTAGGAATATACACAACCACCAAGATCTATTTTGAAGAAAGGGGATTTTGGTAGCATTTTCTACAAGAAAAATCAAAGTAACAAAAAATAGCTCAAAATTATTCACTAATTGGATTTCTGATTTAATAAATTCAATGCAAATTTTAATCACCTCAACAGAAAATTTTCAGCTTCAATTAATGATACAGAAAAATAACTATCTAAACATAAATGGCAGATTATGAAGAAAATTTTACTCACATAAAATATAACACAAAAATTACTTTTCTTGTCTTTATCGTTTCTATTTTATCTAGTTGTAATTTCCATATCAATCACAGTTTAAACCAATTTTAGATAAATAAACATCCCCTCACACTTAAGTGATATGTTCTGCAGATAATGTAAAAGGTTGAACACTATTAGTTTGAGAAGCTTTATTTTGTTTCTCAGGTTTCTTTCTATAATGGATGCTTAGGATGTTACCTACACCTGACTAGCTCAGATAATTTTTTTTTACTAGGCAAGTACAAAGATTCACTACCTGGAATTTGTTTGGAAGTCCTCGAAATAAAGAAACGAGTTTGGGAGCTTCACTAAAACACATCAGTAGTATTAATTCCTTGATTTCGGCTTCAGAATAAAAAAATAATTAAGGAAAAAAAAATGCTGAAATGAAGATTACACATTTTTAATTTCGTTGCATACCATACCAGTTGCTTGAGAGGAAAATACAATACTTAAAAATCTGAAACAAAATTGTGATATGAAAGACAGCATCCAGAAAAATCTTACAACAAATATACACACACACACACACCTATATATATATATATATATATATATATAAGCAAAACACTGTCCTATTTACATTTTCAAGTAAAAAAAAAAAAATGTGGTACAAAAACATACAGGAGTTTGAACAGTTGATTATTAGCTGCAATGAGAAATAAAATTTGCTCCTCCTTTTATTAAAGTTTTACAGTATGACTAACAAAACTTTCATAAATTAACATTGCATTTTAGATACTAAATTTATCAAATACTCTTGAGAAAATTATTTTGGCTAATCCCTTTCACATACATTCATTTGTGCACCTGAGCATATGCTTTTCTCTGCTAAATGAGATATAATTTACTTGTATTGAATTAGAGCTGAATTTGATAAGCTGAAGTTTAAGGTAGCAAGAAGTGGGAAAAAGACAAAAATTTCTATTTATCTAGAAAAGTTCACAATAATTTTGGAAGTCTACTTTTTGACAATGAATTCAACTTAATCAAGGTTTGAGTACTTGAATATCTATTGTAATTATGATACAGAAAAAACAATACAGAAATAAAACAGTAATATACTGTAATTAATATATTATTTTACAAAATTCTAGACTACTAATTACAGAAGTAAATAATAATATACTCAGTTTCCTACAAAAACAAATAATGCAACAATTTAAAACTTTTATACACAAACTTGGCACTTATCTGGTCCTTAAATTTATTATACAATTATGAACTAGCAACTTCATGTTTTATACAAGAGTGAACATCTAAGATTGCCTTTTTCATTACTATTGGCCACTTCATAACACCATTTAAATGACAAAATATAAAATGTATGATACAAACACCACTTCAATTAAAAAAAATCAGAAATTATTACATTTATGTATTAAAAATTTGATACATTGCTTTACAAGCAAAGTAAAATATTTAGAACAAATACCACATTCTGGTAAGTTTAAAACACAACAGAAGTTAGACAGCTACAAAAAAATACATGCAAATACAGAAATAGCGAGAAAAATAATATTAACAGCACTTGCAGAACTTGGTTTTATATCAGACCATTATCTGAACAGCAATAAATGAAATTTCTTAAAGTAGGTCTCACCAGAATAAGTGTCCTATCCTATACTATGCCTTGTTGAAAAACTAATTTCAAAATCTAATTTCCATTTGAAGATAAAAAATGATCAAAATGATAAAAAAATGATCAAATGTTTTTTACAAAAATGATCAGATCAACATTCTCCCTTCTAAAATGCGCAATTAATAAAAATCTTTAAAATGAACAAGATTTTAAAATAATTACACGGAAGCATACACATGGATCCAAAATTTTAGGGTTAATTTCATTGGATATGAATAAAAACTAACAAGAGTTTTAATGTGTTTTTTTATATAAAAGCATCAAGACGAGTATTGTTATACTTGTACTCATACAAGTATTGTATACCAGTTTTTGCATATGACATTATGAAACAAATAATCAATTTCTACACATGCAAATTATTATTTTGAAGACAATGAACAGCTCATTCTAGATTTCATGTAGCTTGGTGATCCTAAAACATCTGTAAACTTTTTAAAGAATAAAAATGTATTAAAATTTAAAAAGGGGGGGAAAAAAAGAAAGAGCAATGATAGTTATTTTAACAACACATTTTCTGAAACCATCAAATATAACTAGCTGTAGTAGATGAATTCCTAAACAATTTGTAACAGCATATTGAAAAGTTAGTCAAATCACAGATGTACAAAAAAGGACATAGCAAACTAACCTGCCATACGCATATGAATCATTTTTAAAATGTCTATTCCTTCCATTGTATTACTTAACTTAGAACAACAACAGCCTGGTAATATTATATTTTACATTTTACAGCAACTGCAAATTTATGCTAGATATTTATTTCATGGTTACTGCATTGTCTGATGCATAATATAAAAGGTTATGATGCAAAAGGATATTTATTTGATTTAGGCTTTGAAAATCTGGACTTAACCTCTTACAAAGTTAAATCCACTTACAATTTTAAATTCCAAATTCGGAGTTAAAAGGAGTGATGTTTCTCCAAAAACTTTAACATTCCATGATATTTTCATTGGTTTCTCAGTACTACATTTCAATACATTGCTGAATATTCCAGCAGTCTGGTAAAGATCTACTTTTCAAAGCTTCAGTCAACTAAATATTTTAAAATTTTACTACATTATTTGATTTTAAACAATCATAAAACTTCAATGCAAATTCTATTTAGGCACTGGTAAACTTACAAGTTATTCTCCACGAATACAACAATCATAGACTTGATTTTCTAAATCATTTCAGCAAAATGTAAATAATATAACAAAAGAGACTTAAATTATGGGCAATGGAAATGAATTTAATGAAAAGAGAATCATTGCATAAACATTTCAAGAACTTTGCTTTTGGAAGACATACACAAGTATCTTGATTGGCTGATTAATATTGCAATTTTTTAAAAAAAAATCTCATTTTGAATGTGCTTCCTTTTTTTAAACAGATCTGCCACACTTTCAAACATTTAAATAGGATTAATAGCATTTAGAACACAAATAACTGAATTAAAGGCTCTCTGCGGAGGTTTAAGATACACCTGTATTATATGCAAAAGACAGATACAGCAATTACAAATTATGAAGCACTGTTGATTAAAAATAATTCGATTATCACAATATTTCTGAAGGTTTAGGGGAAGAACTTAAATTATTGAATTTTTGACAGGATGACATAAATTAAAATTTTTTCGGCCAATTATATTTTGTTCATGATACACAGAATATACAGTAGTAGTTAAGAACATGGATGCAAGTGCTCTCTTATTTTCAATTTTTACTTTCATTTCCAGTTTTTTTTTAAAATCAAAATACATTAACTCTCTCAGTGAAATTTTAAAATATGAACACATTTAGAAGAAATTGTAAATAAAAAGTGCTCAGAAATGGAAATTAACAACAGAACTGATGCAAAAAGCACATAAACTTAAGTGCTGCATAGGAATAGAGAAAACAGAATATTTTAAATGGCATAACAAAATCACTCTACGGATGTAAAATATTACAGAAGTATTAGATACGCTGAAGATAAGTACTCTTAACATTTTCCTATATAGACTAGTACCTATAAACTTTGAATTTCATGAACTTTTCTAATAAATGCAGACTAGCAGCTCATACATAAACATAAAAACACTTCATTGACTTTCAAAATTAAGCAAAATAATGCATGCAGGTTGCATATATCAACACGAATGTGGTCTTCACATTGTTTAACTTCATAAATATTTCTTAGGTTCAAATAAGAGGTGAAAGAGATAACTAGTGTTCACAGCACATTTTCTCTGCATGCTTTTGCTCAGTTGGGGGCGATTCCTGAGGTTCAATTGAAAGTCAATATGATTTTCATCAAATATTATGAATAACATTAAAAAGTTCATTTTGATATATTTAGTTCTTATTTGCAAGAAATGATTTTAAACATCAATACAGCAAAGTAATACAATTTTATTCAAATGAAATGCATTATGACAGAAATCAGGTTTTTAAAAACAAATTTTTAATTAAAAGGTAAAAGGCAAGCTAAAGCACTTGCCCTACGGCACAACTCGCCAGTTCCATCACTTATAACCTCCAATTACTTATTTTTTTATTTATTTAAAAATTTAAAACACTGGAATAAAACAACTTTTTCAATAAAAAAATATTTACAAACAGGATTTATGTTTAAAATAATATTGTTATGATATACAAATGCCCAATACAAACAGACCATAGCTATACAGGAAATGATCACTGTGTAACAAATTTTGTCATGAAGAAGATATTCCTTTTGAACTCACAGTATTTCGGGAATCAGCATGCCATGCCCTTTCAGCTTTTTCTTTCATAGCCATTTGGTATGCAACTTCAAATGCTTGACCAAGCGTTAAAATTATTTCTGAGGCCAAATCCTACAAAAAATAAAATAATTACTCAATCAATTAATTCTTTATATTTAAATATTTTCACACATACAGGTGTTGCACTAATTCAAATCTCCATTACCAGCAGCACATAGAGCAGAGGTCCCCCCCCAAAAAAAAAACACACTCACTGACAGACTAAAAAAAACAAAAAAAATTGTTTTAAAAATTACGTTATGACAGACAACTTACTTATTTTTAAAGCAAGGCAGAATTTAAACAATGCATTATAAAACAAATCTTTTCCCACTTATACATGTGGAGACTTCACATTCCCCACTTTCATTTTACTTTTTCCTGTAAAGGTAGGAAAAGGCGAAATCCATCTATCATTTAGCTCTCTCATCACCAAGGACATTCCCCAGAGTGCACCACAGGAGGTAGACCAATATTACATCTGTGAGAAGGGAGCACACACAAACAAACAAGCTTTATGCAAAAGCCAAATTCACGACACAAATTCTGAACTACCAGTCAGCCTCCACTAACCACTATGTTGTTCAAGATGACATAATTAATATTATTAAAAATGGTTATATTAAAGTATTAAAAGGACTTCACTACTGCAAGAAAAGGCAAATTCCTTCACGGTTTCAATGAAATGTACCTAAGTGGTAGACCTGAGGGTCTCGTAGAGTCTCTTCCCTACCACAAACCTTTCAAGGGGATTCAGTTACACTGCATTTTAATCAGGCTCTTACAGCAAAGACACTATATGCTTACAAACAGCCATGACTTCTCCAAGATTCAAACCTGTGCTCAGGGTTAGGGCAGCTGACTACCTTACCACCAGGATAACAGAGTGGGTTTTCATCTTACTTAATCTATTATACTTAATATCAATTATACTTAATCTATTATTAATAATTAATTACTTAATCTATTATTATCAGTCATGGATTTTTGTAGAAACGCAAGTTTTAAGTTTGGGTCACTTGAAAGCTCAGCAAATTCTTTCTGCCACATGCAACACTTTATATGGAAGGTGATTAATCACATTATTGTACAAAAAATGGCTTTTGCATCCATGATAACATTTTAAAATTAAAATTTGATATAAAGCATTTGCAGAACTCTATTACTACAAAAGCTTGCAAGTGATCTGTAATATTATTTTCAATTAAAGTTTTATGATTATATTTTGTTACAAAATTGTCAACAGTCAAAAAAATTTTGAATGAACTATTTTCCAGGATATTTTTTTAATGCAGATCATTTAAAAAAATCATCATCATTAGATATTTATTGCTATTTTCCCCTTGATCAAGATCATTTATTTCCTCCGAAATATTTAACAAATAGCAGTTTTCATAACCATCAGTCATTTTGAAAAAGAGCAATGAGATCTGATTTTTGCTCAGTTAAAATTAAATTTCACCTTTCAGGGTTGCCACTTAAAGAGGAGAATGAAATTCCCTGACTTTTCCAGGTGTGTTTTGAGAAAATTCCAGTCTATCCGCATAGTGCGTGTTTGCTGCGCTGGAGGTAAATTAATTATGGTACCACTTGAAAACACAAAAAATTGCCAATTGCATCAAACTTATTATATCTATAATCCTGAAAGCATTACTATTATATCCTGAAAGCATTACTATTACTATTATAGCTATAATAGGAGTTGTTTTCTCCACTGAAAGATTGAGATTAGAATCTGCTCAATCTGGATTAAAAAATGAGTTTTTTTGCAGACATTTTGCAGCTAAACGAAAGAAATAAATCTATTTAATGATATTTTTAAATAAATTCAGGTATTTTATATTTATTTAGCAGCATACATAAACAAAAATATGTGCATTAAATTTCGTGATAGTATGTTATCATACTGCTAGATTTAGTTTCAAAACTATGCCAGAAAAATTTGAAAGTATTATTAACTAATAATAAATAAATTTAGAGGAAAAAAGAACATTAAATGATATAAATAACATTAAAATGAAGTTAGTTACTAATGGCTCCGTCCCAACGTAGAGGGAAACAGCTCCGTACGCGCGAAATTCGAAAGTCAAGTTTATCAAGAGTACACAAAACGAATATCGTTTTAAATTTCCTTAAACTTTAAAGGAAAAGAAAATGTTTTTTGAGCGAGTAAATTAATTAATACATTAGCTATTTTGAGCAAAAAAAAGTATGAAAATTCGAGTTGGCGAATTTTTCCCTCCGCTTTCTAGTGGCGGTCTAGCAAACTGATTTACATTATGTCTTACTGATTTACATTCTTACATTAGAACAGAGTACATGGGGGCTATTCTAGCCTCCATGGTACCGTATATTAGGATTAAACCGATTTTGTTGTATACGAGAATGCGAAGGTATTTTATTTTCTTTAGTTCATAATCTGCACATGAGAATCTTAGGATTCTCGCGGTTACTGAAAAACCAAACTTGCTTTGCCTTTCTAAAAGACAATCTGATTTGGAGCTGCGAAAACTGGCTCTATGCCAGCTGCCCGAATGACACTCATCCGATACATAACTCGCCAACAAAGTGATCATTTCCAACATTGGCTAAAAACTCGCTTTTTGGGGGATTGCCGTATGACATTCCGACTTTTCCAGATTTTGACTAAAATATTTAAATTCCCTGACTTTTTTGGTCAATTTTGGAATTCCCTGACTTTTAAGGTTTTCCCGATTTTCCAGCTAGCGTGGCAACTCTGACCTTTTAATAACAATAATCTTCTTAAACTTCACCCTCTTGTCACCCATCATACTTCTGCACGTAATAATAAATTTTTACATTTGGTGTCCATGTCTTTATACAGATTTGAAAATAAACAACTCTTATGGGCACGACTTATTTATTGCTATTTTTATAAATAAATAATAATTTTATAATAAAATCTGTAATTTTGACAACATCCTGAGCATATCATTACTTTTCACCTTTACATCATCACTTTTGCTAATGTTTTTACTTCAAAGAACTCTTGATAGATCAAGCAGCGGATAAAACTTGCAAGATAAATTACCAGCAGTTTTCACAACAAAGCTTTAAGAAATGATATAAAACCAATACTTTCACATCATTCCTTCTGCACCATATGAGTACACTCTGATGCAATTCTTCCATTCTAATCCAATAAATTAAATTTAAAAAACATGCCAGCTTTATATGCATTCCTTTCTTGTATATTCTACCAAAGGATGCCAAATTAACAATTCTTTATTACAAAATTATTTAAAAAGTTCTTAAATTTAAGAATTTTTTCCCCAAAAAAGAAACTTATAAATCCACTGTTAGTGCTCATAAATCATATTTTCCTTTTGCAACAAAATTATACTAAAAATCTTCTGCAGGTAAATTAAAATTTTCAGGGTGCATTTCATATTTATAAAAAAAAGTCATTAGTTCTAGTTAATGATCCCAATCCTAACGCTTCTCTACTACAATCTTTCAAAGAAATTACTTCCAATTTTTTTCATTCATGTCTTTCATATAGATGGCACTAGTGGCTTTATTTCCTATTCCTTAGTTGTAACCATCTCAAATTTTTCTATGTTATTGCATATGCTGTTTCTCTATTGTTATTTTCACTCCTGTGGCTGAAGAAGGTTCTATTTAAGCTCTGAAACTACAGTCCTGCAAATTTCATCATGCCGATATTCCTGTTGCTCATTATTAGTACATGTTTAAAAATTTCAACAGCAACTACACAAACTTACTTATAATATAAGCATAATTTTTGTACAAATTCTGCATTTTTACTTTTTTTATATAAACTCAGAACACAATCTAAGAGAAGAGTCTTAATATTATATAGCCTGTTACCTTGTAGCATCAAGCTAGTTTAGAACATTTGAGTAATGCTATCCAATCACAAAATTCTTTACCAATATTTAGGATGCCTGATCTCGAATAAAGTTATCTAGAAATGAAGATAATAAATTCATAATTTTTGTTGAGATAAGTTGTCAGTTCTGTAGTATTTACATAAAAGCATGGCCTGGAAGACTTTTCTCAGCTTGCACAAAACAGTATATACTTATGTTAAAGATTATAAACTAATTCATTTGCTTTGAATCATTTTTAATTTTGTTGTTCTGTCTGTAGTTCACACACCCAAACAATTAACAGTCCAGACCAGCCAATTAAAGAACTTTCCCAACATAAGTTTGAACTGCATCATAACCCTGGAAATTACATAAAAATGTGAAAGGGAACTGGTTCCTGGAGCCACAGTACTGAAACCAGATAATTAAAAAACTTGTGTTCAGTTGAGAGGATCCTTCATAACTCGCCATGGACTGGTATGCCCCAAGTCATAGGTTTTTAAGCTTTTAAGTTAGAGATTCGAATCGAGCAACTAGTACTTTGAATTTATCAATCAGCATAAAAGAATCTTGCAGATAATAGCATGGTTCATGACCTTGGCAAGGTCAATGTTAGCTGCCATACTTATACCCCAGTAAAATGTTATCAGATTAAGGAAAACCATGCAGAAGTGTAAAAGAAATTTCTATAAAACACATGATATACTTTTCATCAAAAGAATTTTTATTTATTTGAGATGACTAATGAGTTTCTTCTCACAATCCTAATACAGAAAAGCAGTCATTGAACATAGGCAGTTTATGGAATCTTACCTAACAAGGATGCTTAGAATACAAACTGATGCTTTGTACCTGGTGGAATCTGAAGATTAATTAATTCCCTATGAATTTATTATAAATGGTATCAATAATGACTCCAATCTGTGGCATGAGCAAACAATGAAAATTTATGCCATTTTGAAACGGAAGTAACTAACACTGATGTGAGTGCATTCTCCAACTGCACACAAATCCTAAACCACATACTTCTGGAAGAACACACACATAAGTCTAAGGAATCAGATCCAGAACACACTCTCTTTTAGTGGAGGATTATTATTTGCCTCTATCCATGGCCCAGCTTCTTTGCCTGTAGAAGCTGGGATGAAGGCCCTAAAACTGGTATGGTTGGCTTAAACAATAATGATTAATATTATTTAATACTGAAAAAAGTGGAAGGCAATTCTTATGTTGAGATATATCACAATGCTTTATAACATATAATGCAAAATAAATTTTGGCTAATTCTGATAATGATAGAGAAACCACATAGTACATGAAATTAAAAATTTATTCTTTCATTCCTCTTTTGATTCAATTAAATTAATGAATGGTATCCATAGAGTACACATTTGTAACATATGCTCTCCTTTCTCCACTAAAACTTCAATAGCAGAACTCATTTAACTGATTACAAAAAAGACAATATAGCCCTTTTAATTTCCACTAGTTGATGCAAGTTATTTACAAATACACTTTCCAGAATTTGTACTGGTTGATTTGCATGAACAGTAGTTGATAAATTTTTCCCGTAATTTTCATTACAAAAAATACTAAAAATATAATTTTTGACACTACAAAATGCATAAAAAATATGTTTCATAAAAATATGATTTTTTGGAATAATACTAGTCATGTGAAAGAATCAACCCCCTTAAAAAAAGTTAATACTGTATTAGCGGACAAAGTACTTTAATTTTAATATGTATTAATTTTCACAGAACTCCTTTATTAAAATTTTTCACATTTAAATATTTACGAATGTCAGCAATAATTAATAGCAGTACAAGACATCACTGGCTTTAAAATTTATTATCTAATAGTGAAAATATAACACTGTTTTTCTTTTGAAATGACCTTATGAAAGCCATACTCCTCTTAAATGTATAGCCTAATCATTAAAAACACATTAAGATAACCTGTTACTTTTAAAAAGTGCAGCCTCAAAATGCTATATTTAGACCATTTAATAATTCTTCTTGTAAAACACTTTCTGTACACCATTACTTCATATAAAGTTTTATTTTTCTTATGCAATACTCAAAAATTGGGGCTCACCTACCTTAAACAATTATTTCAGGCCTTACATATTTCCCAAACAGATAAAATTTCAGATTAAAATCAAATGAATACTAATTTGCTACTTACTACACTATGTGAAGAGAATACATGACAATAATGATTATGAGTTTGATGTTCTTTGGTAATGTAAGCAAAATGACGTAAATCATCAGCATCTTGACAAGCACAGTGAATATTTCGTATCTCATGCTCACAAACAAGTTGCTATAAAAATAATTAAATTTAATCACATAAACATATTTGTAAAATTTTAAAAAGATACATATCCTATCAATATTTTATGAAACATTACAATTTCAGGCAGTGCCATTAACATATAGTTCTTCTAAGTTATTAAAAAAGACCATTACTTACTTGAGTTTCAGCATCAATAAATTTCACACCAGAATATGATATTGACAGGATAATATTAGGTATCTTGGCAATATCTTTAGTTGAAGCTTTTAGCTTCTGAATAGATGTTTTTGTAGATTCTAAGCCTTGAAGTTCCTTCACTAAAGTTGAACCTAAGTACTGGAAGATAAAAGCAATTAAAATTTTATAATGCAATAATTTAAAAAATTCAAATTTATCACAATTTTAAAGGAATATTCGGAAACTTCTGCAAATAGTTGGAACTATAGGACGTAATAAAGAGACTTCTTGAGTTACTCTCGAGCTATAAGCTTTACATTAATAATAGTATAGAGAGCATTGAATAGATTATTGGCATAACCTTATGGGGATCTAATGATAAGGAACATGACCCCTGACTTAAAAAAGCACTCCAGAGAGCACAAGAAAATAATCTGAAATTCAATAAGGATAAGTGTAAAATAAAAGTTAATCATGATAATTATATAGGGCATGATTTAAGTGAAAATGGGTTAAAACCTGATTTTTCTAAAGTGAAAGCATTTAATAAAATGACACAACCTACAGATGTGCCTTATCTACAAAGATTTTTAGGCATGATTAATTACTTGGTGGAATTTATTTCTAACTGCTACTAGTGCACCATTAAGATAGTTACTTGAGAAAAATGCTCTCTGGCACTGGACTGAAAAACTCTCACATAATTGGTTGTAAAAACACCCAGATTAAAATTCTATGATGTTTATACGGATGTAAGTCTTCATACAGTTCAAGTTTATGTTCTTCAAGTTCTGAAAGATTAAGTGCTGTTTTATTAAAAGAAAATTAACCAATTGCTTATGCATCTACAGCTCTAACAAAGAGTCAGAAAATTATTCTAGAAAGATAGAAAAAGAGCTTTTAGCTAATACTTTTGGATGTTCTATATTTCATCAATATATACATATGGCAAACATATTATAGTTGAAACTGATCATCGATTATTAGAAAGCATACCTAAGAAACATCTTTTTAAGGCACCTCAGCAGTTGCAAAGAATGCTCTTAAATTTATAAAAGTATGATCTAGATGTACGTTACAGAGAGGGAAAGACTTACTAATAGCAGACACTTTAAGTACAGCGTATTTGAATACAACAAAAAATAAAGATGAAGCTACAGAACACTGATTCCAGGTTTGATGACAAAATTTATGAATTGAAGAAAGAAAGTGAATGTGATGCTACACTGCAGTTTAAAGAAATATATTCTGAGAAGTTGGCCAGCAAGAAAACATTAACTAGAATCTGAAGTCAAAGTATTTTGGGATTATACAGACGTGTTGACAATGGAGAATGACTTATTTTTGAAAGGAAGAAGGGTAATTATCCTTTTATCTATGACAAAAGGGATGTTAAATTTAATTCATGAGAATCACTTTGGTACAGAAAAACGTAAGAACTACAGATGCTTTGTTTTGGCCACTTACAAACAAGCAGATAGAAGATAAAATTTCAAAATGTCCTATATGTAATGAATGTCAGAACAAAAACTTAAGGGAACATATGATAACCACATGAAGTTCCTAATTTACCTTGGTATAAAGTTGGAACAGATTTATTTGAGATTAACAAAGATGTATACTTATTAATTGCAGATTACTATTCCAACTTTTTTTAAAGCTCCAAATTACCGGATACTCAATGTCAAACAGTGATCAGTTATATAAAATTTCATTTTGCAAGATATGGAATACCACTGATAGTGATATCTGATAAATGGAACTCAATTTCCCAATAAATATCAATTTAAACCATCTGCAGTCAAATGGATTAGCAGAGGGTTCAGTACAAACAATGAAGAAATTGTTAAAGAAAACTTGAGCAGATCAAGCTGATTCTTATTTAGCATTGTCAGCTCACAGAAACACTCCAACTAAGGTGATGTTACGATCAGATGAATTTTATAATACAACACACAAACAGGAAAATTCTCATTAACACCTTCCTATACAGTTAAGTACCAAAAATCCACTGACCTGAAATCCGGGTTGCCTCTCAAAACATAAACACTCAGTTTATAGGTTCAGGAAACTGCAACATGGAGTACGAAATATCGAAGAAAAAATACTTACCGAATAATGACGTTATAATCACCGAATAATAATGAGTCATAACGGAAATATCAAATTATTGACATCTTGATAAAAGTTTTTTCCTCTCCAATCTGCATTGAAGTAAAAAAACAGGCGATTCACTCAACTCTTCTATCAAGTTCACGATTCACGTTCTTGTATTTTCTGAACTTAGTTATTTCACGAGATTGCTTAGTGCTGCCTTTTTTTTAATCCGAATATTTTGTCGATAATTTACGAATATTTTAAATTTCAGCGCTTTTTAATATATTGACAGATAAGAAACACACTCGTGGTTTTACTGCTTGAAACATTGAAAAATGTAAACACGTTGCATTGATGGTAATGCAAAAAGTGAAAATTCTGCAAAAGATGGAGGCAGGTGCTACTCCTTGGTTTATAGCAGAATCGTATGGAATTGCGACACGGACTGTGCATGATATATGGAAAAATAAAGAAAAGCTGTTGAAATTTTACAGCAACAGTGATTCTAACACTGGAATCCGAAACCGGAAATCTTTGCATGAGGTGAAATCGGCAAGCCTTGATGCTGTCTTGTACGAGTGATTTCGGCAGCGGTGGAATGATGGAGTACTAATTTCAGGACTGCTCCTGAGAGAACAGGGGAAGCAGAATCATGCTGACTTAAAAATGAGAAGCCATGCTTATTTAAAAATAGAGGAGCCTAATGTAAATAATATAACCAATTTATATATGTAATAATTTAATGCATATAATAAATTATTCTAATTCTGTATATCAAAATTTAATTAAATGCATGTAATACGCCTTATTTATTTTGCACTTTTAGTGTCTGAATATTATGATTTATCTTTTCTGTACTGAAATCCACAAAATCCTAAAATCAGCACAACCTCTGGTCCCAAGCTTTGCAGATTTCTGGACTTCCACTGTATTAACACTTTGCGGGCCGTGCATTTATCGAAGTGCCGTTATGCTGCTGCTCGCCAACGGTGATATTTACGCAATTTTTCGAAACATAAGTAGTTGGTATATAATTATTATTAAAGAAAGCACTAAAATAACTGTTACACTATTTTTATTCCATTTTATTCCAATTATATTTTTTAATTAGTACTAAAACGTTTTATTTAAAAAATTTAACTCCTAGGACCATAGTTCTTTTTAGTATGATAATTCTGAAAACATTTTCCAACATGCAGAGAAACGTTGCAGGGAGAACACATGTATGCAGCGGAACTTCTTTTCTTGGTGGCAGTGCAGACTTGGCATCAACACCACCTGCCCTTCGCGGATTATGAATTCTCCCATTACCACTAATACGTGTTATTGTATGTTTTCTCATGTCCGCAGTAAGTCTGCCTGGTGGATCAAACCTCGGCAATCTTTCATCACATTGAGCAGCCGAACTTGATAGTTGCTCCTCTTCATTCCCATTAATCCATGCTAGTGCAAGGTTTAGTAAAAATTGTTTGAATCTAATAGGATTTTCAGAATTTTTTATGTATATCTGGAACACGTTGGAGTAATGCACATTTTATGAGATATAAAACCGTTTTTTTTTGGTCCATTTTTTTGTTTTTTGTTGTTTGTTTCGAAGTATGGAATAACACGATAGGTATTGATCGGCGTGATCAACACCTTTCATAAATTTATTATACTCTTGTATGCAAATTGGTTTAATGCACTTCTTTTTGGTTCTTTTACTCACACATTCGACCATGTCTGCTGAATGTATATCGTAGAAATCATCATTATCAATTTTTTGGTCCGAATTCCATTTTTGTACCATAATTTTCCCTTTTCTACAAAATTTCATTGACTTATTTTTCAATGTAGCAGATTTTAAACAATTTGGTACTCCTCTGTTTACTCTAATTGCACCACAGATGTTTGTTTTATGCTTTAGTAACTCCTCTGCAACCTTTACACTATTGTAATAGTTGTCCACATATACATTGTGCCATAAATTTAAATATGGTGATAGCATGGACAATATTGTTGCAATTAGTGATTTTCCTTGCACGCAATATATTTCTAAATTGCATATATAACCAGATATTGTTTCATACACCATATGGACTAAAATTCCATATTTTATAATTTTCGCAGGATTATATGTACGAAAAGATAGCCTGCCCCTCCATGGAATGATACCTTCATCCAGCGATAATTCTTTCTCGGGTTTATAAATTTTTTTAAACTTTTCTACCAGGTACGAGTTAACTGGTTTTATTTTATCAAGCCTTTCTTGGCAATGCTCATTATTACTGAAGTGCCAATACTTCCATAACTGCTGAAATCGGTTCCTTGACATAGTATTCCCAAAAATAGGTGTATGTAATCCAGGGTGAGTAGACCAATAATCGCCTTGTTCTGGTTTTCTTACTATTCCTATTAGGATAACAAACCCCAAAAGTTTTTTCATTTCTACAACATTTATATCAATCCAAGCTTTATTCTTTTTGATTCATTGTTGTTATCATTATTCTGCTGATTATGATATAAGTTTGTTTGTGTGGCAAACAAATTAAAAAAATCGTCCCCAATGAAAAATTCCACAGTCGATAATATATCTGGTGTGTATGGTACCTGTAACCCGAACCTTTCCAGGCAAGCATGAAAGTTAGGCTTAAAATCAAATTCTGACCAATCATTTGCTACAGAATTCTCTTCATCACTTTCAGATTCACTAATTATTGGTCTTCCCTATTTTTGAATTGTCTCACAATTATATTGCTCCCACTGTCTGAATCACTTTCACTATCAGAGCAATTATCCTTTTCTGATAACAGATCAGCATATATTTCCTCATCGAAGAGCATTTTGAAGGACATCTTTAAATCTAACGTAAGTTTCCGATATTTGAAAGCAGCAAAAGACAGTCTCAAACTAACAAAACAAGCGTCCACGAAAAAAGATTTCAATAATAGACAGTCTGGTGAATTGGGAAAGGAAAACAGTTGAAGCCAATGTTTCCTGATTGTCAAATGTTTTGCTATAGTATGTCTATCTATACAAACATCGATGTGAAGTGTCAAGTCACGTGTACGTGACAGCGGCCGATAACTGTTGCTGAGCAAAAGTCATGCCTGCGTGACAGCGGCCCGCAAAGTGTTAAAAATTATAAGTACTTGAATATTATTAGAACTATAACAAAATGGCTAAAAAAGATCATGCAGTCGAATTCCTCTTACAAAGAGTTACATTTAAACAGCATTTATTAGCTAAACTCATATAATTACTCAGTTTAATCTTCATTTTTTTTATCAACTTTCATTCATTAGGGTGATATCTGGATCATTAAAGCAAATAAGAAAACCACATATTTTATATAGCAAGGTAATGACCAGATACAAATGGCAATACCAATCAAAGGGTTAAAATATCAAGACATTTTTAGCCATGTAACACATCTGAGAGAAAGATATGAAACAGATTTTTTGTGGCTGCTGAAAAAGGAGAAATGACAGCAATATCTCCCACAGCCAAAAGATATGAAAAAATTCTTCATACGATCAACAAAATATTAACCTGCATATTCCCCCCTTTCCTACTAACTTTACTGCCTGAAACCAAGGAGGGGAAAATGCATGATGTACAATGCACACTAATGTTATTTATATCATGTATTTTAAAGAATTTCCCACTTTTAATATTACTTTTATTGCACAAAATTCTTTCCCATTTATTTGAGATTAACATTTTACATTGCTACTATAAATCACATGTTTCTTAATCATATGATGAAAAAAGTTAGGATGAAAAATATATGAGAGGAAGAAATATGCAAGTAAATCTGGTATTATTCAAGGTGTCATTAACCCCTCTAAATGTAGCATATATTTCTAAAAAAATGGAAATTTTTCCTGTTTAATTTTCTGTGTACCCGTGTAAAGGTTATATAATGGTTATTTTGTTATTTTAATGAAAGAAAAATTATATATGTAATAATTTGACATGTACAGGGTGCTTGGAAAATATCCAGCTAAAATGTAGCATATATTTAAAAAGATGGAAACAGGCAAATTCTGTAATGGAATGCACGAGTGAAAATGGTGTGGTCAAAACAGTAAGTCGTGTTGCTACAGGGTACTTGTTCGGCAATATATAGAAATATTCGACAGGCATAAATTGTCAGTCCGCATGTGGATATTTTAAACAGTATGCATCACTACACAAATGCAAAGTTTACTGACATAAAAAAAGAGGTACACTGAAAATTTTTATGTACTGCCTTTGAGCATCTGCAGAATTATAGATAAAATGCATGTCAGTGAGCTACATTTTTGAGTAACAATATACAGGGTGGTTATAATTAAAGTTCCACTTTGAAATGGTCATACAAGGAAAACTACCAGACCAAATGTTATCAAAGTTGATAATCGTGTAGAGGAGGTCATGGAAATTTATTTTTCAAAAAACAAAAAAGTTAAAAAACTCATCACCAGTGGGGAGATGGTGCGGTAAGCAATATTATTAAATGAAATAATATACAAAGACATGGGTTTAAAGTGTGTTACAAAACATGTTCAATGTGATGTCCACCATTTTCCGAAGGCAAGTTAAATCATATTACTTACTGCATTCTAAACACCAGCTCTCAGCATATCAGGAGGAATATTACGGATATATTGGTGTATCACATCTTTCAATTCCACCAAACTGTTCAGATTATCACTATAAACAGTGCTTTTGAGATAACCCCATAGCCAAAAGTTAGCAACAGGGGTTGAGGTCTGATGACTGGCATGGCCAAGAATTGGGGAAGTGTCGGCCTCTAATCCATTCATTCGTGCCTATTTAACTGTGTGACACATGTACCAATGTGCGATGGGCCTCTGTCCTGCATAAAAACCGTAATGTCTAAAATGTCATGTTGCTGCAGTTCAAATATCACAAAATGTTTTTACATTGACAATAAGTGAGCTGTAGTCACAGTGCATGTAACAGGTCTAGTTGTCGACTGCTCTTCAAAGAGAAATGGTCCAATTATGAAAATAGCTGCCATACCACACCAAACGGTGACTTTAGAAAAATGCAATGGCACTGGGTAGATAACAAGAGGGTTTTGTTTGGCCCAAATCCTGCAGTTATGGGTGCTGACATCACCATTTAGGTAAAAATGGGCCTCATCTGTCCTGAAAATGTTCCATGGCCAATGTTAATCCACTTTCATCTGTGCAAGGAATTCCAAAGCGAAAGATTCTCTTGCAGCAACATCGTTAAGTTCTTGTACATATTTGATTTTGTATAAGTAGAACTGCAACACTTGACGGAAAATTTAGTACGCCGTACTCCATGGCACATCCATTCAACGTGCAACAGCACATATTCTGCATGCACCATGTGTGCTTTCTATTGTTGCTTCCTCCACTGCTAATGCAACAACCCCCATTACTCGGATGGTGCACTTTAAAATGGTAATTTTATTTAAGTCAATGTTTCTTAAGGGTATATAACATGTTAAACACATGTAACAAAAGGTTAAGTTAGATTCTGACTCTTATTTCGCTTAACAATATTGTATGACATTTTGCCTCTGGTGGTACATTATTATTATTATTCAGAAAACACATTCCCATGACCTCCTTTACATGATTACCAAGTTTGATAACATCTGGTACAGCAGTTTTCCTTTTATGACCATTTTAAACTGGAACTTTACTTATAACCACCCTGTATAATTCTCTAAATCCACACACAGAATGGCAGTTTTCACTTTTAGAAAGTTTTTAATCTTCCATTCAATAGCACTATGTACATCCTGTACATGCCATTTGAGCACACACATCCCCTTACACAATCTGCTTATTTCAACCCCCCTATCTGCTTTTACATTTTTTCAAGATATTTTCTGACCAACTTGCATATATGAAAAATTAATTGGTTGTTCATGTTTTATTCAAATATATTCGATTATAATAGAATAAATGCAAAATCATCAATATGACATATAAATTTTAGAGCTAAATAACACAACCAATAATTAAACTTAATACAAGAAACATCATTTTTAATTTTGAAATCTTATCCTGAAAAAATGAAAATTCTTTACGATTGACTAAATCAGACACTGCAGAGGGAGGACAACCATTTTTTGGTACACCTCACACAGAAAAAAAGACAATGACAGAATAAAGAATCGGACAAGCTACATGAAACACAAACTTGATATTATACACTATTATTTTTAATCATAAACAACACTCTCTCTCCACTAAAAGAAATGAAGTACAAATTGCACCATCTATTATCACAAAGTAAAATATTTATTTAAATGCCTATTTTAAAACAAAGCTACCTCAATTAAACTTTCATGAATAAGAAATAGCAAATTTTTTCATGCCAATGTTTGTTCCAGCAACACAGGTAACAGGTTAAATCAGTTAGATACCATAGGCAATTACTGCAAAAAGCATGTAGGTATAATAGTTTTTTAATGCAAATTTCTAAAAAAAAACTTTTTTTGCATCAGAAAAAATTACATTGTAGGTTTCAAATTCTCATTTAAGGAAATGATAAAATTACTTTTTGCATAGCTATAAAATCAACGTTTTCATCATTTTGTGATTTATATCATTAAATTTTTATAATTTTTTAAGAGTCAATTTTGCAAAAAAAAACAAAAGAAAAATAATTTATTAGGATATGATACAATTTACTAATCAGAAGTTCCTGAGTATCCAGCCTACCTTTTTTATGAACCAGTTTACCAGGCATTTGAGGATGCAGTAGAAGGTGCTTTAACACGTTTAGTTCACCTGAATGATTTCTGGCTACTGAGACACAAATGAGTCTTGATGATAAAGTGGAATTTTGGTAATGGGTACAAAGATGAGATTACTTCATTCCTGTAAATTATGCTCGAGTGCTCTTTAAATTAAACTGTTTAGGGATGTTGGAATTAGTTTGCAAAAAACAAACAGAATTTAGTTTATTACTGCTGCAGGTACTATTTAATTTTCTGAACAGAAGATTTAAAGATATCCTTCAAGATTACACTGTAAACACACAGATATGAATGTTTGAAGTTATTTTACTAAAGCAACTAAACTTTAAACCGTTTAATAGCACATAACAATTAATGTTATTTAACAGTATTTAATTATTCTTGACAAATTGCATAATATGCCAATTTGTTTACTATAGTAAATAACTTTTTTTTTGCTTGCATCATAAAAGTGGTTCCATCAAAATTATTGGCAGTAAAATTAAAACATAAGATGAGATAAACTGTGAAGGAGCATTAGAAGGCCCCACAAGATTTAATCCAGTACTGATAAAAGGAAACAAGTGAAGATTAAGCAGTGCTAATAAAATTACAAACGTGCTCGTTCCCAGTTGATTTCATTTTAAAGGCATTGCATGCTTGAAAGAATGGATATTCTATTAAACACGACTTGCATTTTAAATAATCTGTCCCTCAATTTTCTGTCGTTTTACACAAGATTAGTGTCATTGGAGTTATTGCCAAAATAACTGCAGTGTGTCTGATTAGTATTGCTCAGATAACAGTATACAATGACTGAGGAATTTGATAACTGCCAATGGATTAATTTTCATGCATTTTTATTGAGGGATGTCACATAACAAAACTGCTAGTCTGAAATATTTCTTAAACTGCAGCTATGTGTCAATGAACAACTATTTACAAAATACTTCGAATTGCAATTTTTTAACACTTCATTTTATTGCTGCATGTTTACAGAAAAACTGTAACTGAAATTTTTATGAAAATGAAATGGATTACAAAATCATTTAACACTACAACAGATAATACAATGGGAGTATGTAAATTACCTTTGCCATGTAATTGCAGCTATTTATCACAAGCTCATCTGGATGGTGACGCCACTGTGCTTCAATTACAGATTGCTGACAGCTTTTATCCAAGTCTTGGGAATCACTCATCAACTGAGTTGGAGACCTTATTCTTAAATATGGTTTATTAGATGCATCAGTGCAGCTGTCATATGATGACTTTGATGATGCTTTCACTATACAATACCTTGACTTTTCATTGTCAGGAACTTCTAATTCTGACAAATCTAAAGTCTAGGGGAAAAAAATGAACATTAAAAATTTTGTCAGCACTTAAAAAAATATGGACTTAAAAACTTGGCCACTTCATTAACTTTGTGTTAAATTTACTGCATATTTATCCAAAACTTAAAAATGAGTATCTCGTGCAAAGTTATTCCTCCAGAATCCAATGAATCAATTTACTCTAATTTGTATTATTAAAACATATGAGGTAGAAAATTGGTGAATATGCAAATTTGAAATTCTTGAGTCATGTTATAACTTGAACGCAGGAGAGAAAATTGGCATTAACACACACAAACATTTGTCAAAAATTCTGTATCTGAAAAAATTAACCTACGATGATTTTACACACAGAAGGAATACAGAAAAATTGGAGGACCTCAAAATGACTTCAGCATGTTCCAATTACACTTCAGGGATTCCGGCCTAACATTTTAATTATGTATATGCTTTAAGTGGCAGATACCTGCTCACCTGGCACAAAATACATAAGGTAACTATGGATAGTCCATTAGAAAGTTACTGCTGTGAGAATGCTAGGGCAGTGGTCAGCAAATTCACTAGTGAATTATCAACAGTTCAATGATTGAAATCTCTTTTGAGAACCACATTTTTTAAACTTAAATTATATAGGTAGGTCAAAGGAGCACTAAATTGTCTTGAAACTAGGCTTCGAGAATTTCACTTCACACATACTGAAATTAATGAGTTTGTTTCGCTTACTAAAGTCTCTCTAAGTCAAACTCACTTTGTTTTCCAAAATGCATATTTTCGTCAAGTTGAAGGATTGGCTATGGGTAATCTTCTCAGTCCAGTACTTGCTGACATTTATATACACTATTTTGAGATGAAATTATTTGATAAACTATCTTTTCGTCTTTGGATTCGGTATGTCGACACTTTCGCGCTTTTTGACAGTTATAAAGAGGATTTATCCGAGATTCTATCTATTATGAATTCAATTGATTCAGCCATTCAATTCACTCTTGAAACTGAATCCAACAACTCCCTCCCCTTCCTTGATATTCGTATAATCCGCAATGAAACTGATTTTAGCACTACTGTGTACCGTAAACCCTTTGCAGTTTCTTTACCACCCCATGCCAAGTCATGCCACCCTGTAAAGCAAAAAATAGCTTCTTTTTACTATTATGTATTCCGTACACTTAAAGTTTTTTCCTCTGAATCTTTGCTTACCAATGAACTTAATTATTTGAGAGCAGTTGCGATTGACCGTGGATTTTCTCCCGTGATTATTGATAAAGCCGTTAAAAAATTTTCAGATTCCCATCAAAGAAGACATTCCACTGTTAGAAATAATATTAATGACCTTGTCGTGCTTCCATTTTATCCTTCTGTTAGCTATAAAATTGCACGGATTCTCCAGAAATTCAATTTTCAAGTTGGTTTCTTCCCTATTAATAAAATTCACCCTTCGATTCTAAAAGATTGCATTTCTGTCTTGGAATTCTTGGGGAATATATAGTATATTGTGTCAGTGTGATTTAAGATATATTGGCCAAACAAAACAAGCGTTGAAGTTTTGTATTAAGGAACATGAATCTTATGTCAGAAAAGGCGAAATTAACAAGTCTTCAATAGCGTATTTGACTTTGTGTCTGCAAAAATTATCCAAAAGGCTTCTTCCATAGGTGAATTGGATTTTCTTGAGGCTTTTCATATTCACAAAGATTTAGCATGTTTAGTTAATGATTTTAAGTCCAATCCAGTCTTTCCTAATGCCTTTAAAATTCTACTATCTTAATTCAATTACTATTTTTGCCGATAGATGGTGTTATCTCCTCGCGTTTGGTACTACCAGAGGTTATAAAAATCCGTTCAGTGATTGCTTTCCATTATTCGAAGTTCAGATTTTGAGCGTGAATGTGCAGCTGCCCCTCGGTCCCTATTTCTAACTTCGCTAATTTTCTTGTATCAACTTTCTTACATGTTTGATCAGATAGCCTGGCTCAGTAAAAGTAGGTGGCCAGTGTAACTCTGATTAAAAATCTGGTTATAACCACGTGCAGTGCTGATAAGAACCATGTGTTTCTGACACTCCTTCCCCCTTTATTTTTCTTCTTTCTAGGTATTTCTTTCTCCTGATGAGGAGGGATCTTTAGCTTTTTGCCCTCGAAATCGATTGAGTGTTTCAATATACTTACGCTAAATACAAGGTTGTTTTTACGATTTTGATTGTCACATTAGCGTGTTTCTCTTCTAGTCTAGGTAGGTATATTGTTATTCACTTAATTAAGGTACTCATATGCAGGCTTTTACTACAAAAGTTCTCAGCCTGATCAACACACATTTGCTGAGGTCAACTCTCTTCCAATTCTTCCATCCACACTAGTCTTGTATATTTGTTTCAAGCATCTTCTTCCATTCATCCTCTCTATATGTCAAAACCACCTTAACATACCTTTCTCAATTCTCAACACTACAGCTTTTTTCACTCAACACTCCCTAAAATTAAATTAATACTTCAGTTTTTAAGTCTTAGTTAAACTATGTAGGTATGCTGGATAAAACTTGATATAACACTTAATAACGATACTATTTATTGATGAAATAAAACTGAAATATATCCAAAAACTTAAATCATAATAATGACGAACAAACGCTAAAGTGAACAATGGCCATGCATCTGCTTGGAGAGTTTGTGTAACTCGGGTTTGCATGTTGTTGTTTTTAATTTTAAGCATGATTTCAAGTTCTCATCAATAAGATGACTTCTCAAATTACTGTTAATAACGTTCATGCTTGAAAATGATTGTTCACATGAAAACATAGACATGAATAAGGAAAGTACAGCAAACACTAGTTTTTTTAGTTCATTATATGTATAATAAATACTATTTTATGAGTTAAAAAAACAACATATCTTCCTGCTCCAGGTCTTTCAAAGCAGTCCATTAGTGCTTTGAACTAAGCTCACATTTATTTTTTGCCAATGTTTCTATATCAGCGTTAAGAGGCTCAAATTTTGAGCTCCGCAATTCTTTGTTTTTAAATCCAGCAATTGGATTTTGAAGTTGCCAGTGTCAATATTACAGTGAGAAAAATTTAATTCTGTTACAGTAGTATTAAGAGGGTTTTTTTTTTTTTTTTTTAACAAAGGCTAACGTCACTTTGTTGTTTCCGAATTCCTGAAACCTGCTGGGAAAAACTTCTCTCATATTTAAAAACTGTTGTCTTGAAATACCAAATGTCAATATCAGAACTATTTTCTTGGTGATATTTCCACAGGCTTGGAAAATGAATCAAAGTTTCTCTTTTAAAATCTTGAGTGAAAAAGAGATAATTTGTTTTCAAATGAAATAACTTCTAACGTCGAAAAAATTATGTTTCTTTTTCCCTGTAGTTTTTGATTAAGCTGATTTACACGAGGCATAACGTCTATCATGAAATAAAAGTTTTGGATCCACTGATCATTTGTTAGTTCTGGATATTAAATACCCTTTTCAAGGTGAAATGGTTTAATTTCTGTTAGTAAAGACATGAAACGTTTCCTTTTGATAATCAATGTATTATGCAGCAGCAGATCTGCATTCTCACTTTGCATTTCAACTAAATTTCTTTAAACTGGCAATGATTATGTGCTTTAACTATAATGGAGTTGATGATCTTAATCAGCAATTCCATAACTTCACAAATTGTTTCTGGAAATGTCTGTGCACAAAGCACTTCTTGATAAATGATAGAATGCTCATTTAGTATCTCGCAACTAATTCTTTTGTTTCAAAATAACAACACAACCATTTTTTACACCGGTCATACTTTTTGCCGTCTGTTGCAACTAAGACAATTTCATCAAATGCAATATGTTTTTCAATGCATCCAATTACAGCATTTGCTATATCCTCTCCATGTGCTTGACCTTTGAGTGGCAATAATCCTAAAAGTTCTTCTTTGGAACCTGTAGATGAAATAAATCATACGAAAAGTGAAACTTGCACAAACAGTCACAAAACTCTTCAACACAAACAATTTAAGTCACAAAACTCTTCAACTGTTATTGATAAAGCTGAAACCAATTTCAGATCTTTGATTTGCTTGTTGGTTATATTCGAAGACATTTTGATCTTTCATTATTTTAGTATGGGTAACTCTTTAATTTTTTTTTAAGAATATCCACTTTGTTCTTAAAATTTCAAAGCAGCTCTTCAGATGCATTCATGAAACAATTTTTTTTTTGTATCTGCCGTCTGTATATAGCTTATCTCTTGACTAATCACAAAACTTGCAATATTAACATTATTGGAAGATTGCATTCAGTAATTAATCACTGAACTTGATTTTCCTTGACTATTCTGAAGTTCCTTAATTGCTTTCTTCATTGCATCATCAACAGGCATATACACTGCTCAAAACAATTAAAGGATATTGTAAGTTTTATATAAAATAAAGATATAAGCGAAATTTTTTTTGCCGAAAATGGAAGAAGAGAATCACAAATGCAAATTTTTCTGATTTTCAAACTGTAGAGTATGCTAATTTTGAGTTCGACGTCAAAAACGTCGCTTCAGAGGCAGCGAATGAAATTTGACTTTCAACTGTACAAAAGACAATGAAGACAAGGATGATCAGCATTCAGTAACTGCTTTGTTTCGATGAGTACGTCTCAGCGAAGTCATTTAACCGATTTAGAAGCTTGGAGAGTTGTTGGTAGCTTAGAAGGGGGCCAAACTCAAGCCGAAGTAGCGCAAGCCATTGGAGTGTCTTAAAGTGTGATTTCCAGGATCTGGAACCATTTTTTGGAAACTGGAAGTGCAGGCCGAAGACCAAGGCAAGGTCGTAGATGGGCAACAACCCCCAATGAAGATCGTTATTTAGTGTTAACGACTCGGAGACACCGAAATATGAATGCTACTTTTCTCCAACAACACCTTCGCTTGGCTACTGGCAGCACAGTTTCAACTCAGACTGTCCGAAACCGACTCCGTGGTGTAGGTCTGTATGCTCGCCACTGATGGTATGTGTTAGACTAATATCAAGGCATCTTCGCG